ATAACCCCAAAATTAGACAAAAAATACAAATATAAATACAAATATATATATATTTATATATTATAGTGATGTTGGGGAGGTCACAGAGTACTCGCTCAGGGATTTTCCAATTAAAAGTCATTTTTTTTTTTCTTCAGGCAACTTACAGGTGAAAACCACAAATGAAGGCTTAACTTCCGCATATAACACAAAGTAAAATTCAGTTTTCTTCAGCAAATTGGGCATATTGTCTCACCAGCTCAAGGTTGTCCTGTGTACTCACTGTCCCAGTCCCAGGACTTTAATGTTTGCCTCAACAAAGGCTTCAGTGGTACTTCATACCCTTTAGCCACTTCCAGCAGCTTTCCACACCTGTGCCTGGCTCTCTCAGCCTGTGAAATCCTCCAGCCTCCTTGGCTGTTCCTGGTGCGGCTCCCCCACCCCACCTGGCTTGGCCTCGTGTGCCGCTAGCACACACTACACCACCTCTCTTCTCAGTTTTGGTCTGGCTTCTTAATGAGGCTGCTCTCAGCCACCTGATCAGCCCAGACTGGTCAATAGCAACACCTAGCCCCACGACTGGAGATTTCATTCCACCCAGAGCTGTAAGAAATCTCTGGAGCTCCAGATCCCAGCTACAATTAGGAAACACGGTTTACACTCTGGACCCCCTAAGCCCCTCTGGCTGAGAGTCCTGGGTGCCAAAGTTTTTTTTTCGTACGTAGGTGCACCAGGTTTGTGTTTCCGATAGCATGGAAACGTTAGCATACTTTTTTTTTTACTTAACTTCATTGCTATCACATGGGGGTTCACAAGCGATAGTGATAGTACATTGGAGATTACAAGTTCTCTTTAAGGTAACATTAGGGGACCCCTAGTGTCACCTTTCCACTTCAATAGTTAAGCTGGGGAATGGCAGCTGAATGTAAACACAGCACGCAGTGGCTATAGCAGGCTTGCTATTACACCCGCCCACTGCCTGCTGTCAATCAGCAGAGGAGGGACCAAAGGAGAAAGTTACACTCCTCTGCTGATTGACAGCAGGCAGTGGGTGGGTGCAATAGCCAGCCTACTATTGGCTACTGCAAATTTAAAAAGCCAATAGCAGTCTTGCTATTGCTCTCAGCCCCTGAATGGAAAACTTGACGCTGGCTTTCTACCACCGGTAGTTAATAGGGAAAAGGGGGCATGGGGGAGCAGTGGGAGCAAAAAGGGGGAGCAATGGAGGTGCAGCGGGGGGCACGGGGGGAATGCAGAGGCACAGCGGCTCACAGCTGGTTTCTCTTTCTCGCAGGGGCCGGCTGCAGCAGTCATTGACAACAATTCTCATTGATTAAATTGATTAGTTGTTGCAGCCCTAGTCAGCACCAATCCAGAGATGAATTGAGGATCTACAGCCGGGTGATACTCAAATAAGTTGATAAATGTTTGCTAATAGTTAAGATACTTGAATGCATTTTTAAGATTTAACTCCTGAGTTTAGTGTCACTTTAATAAATATTCAGACCTCTTGACAAAAAAATATAATTGTGGAAAGTAAAGCAGGGCTTAAACTTCTATCAAGTAACATTGTTAGTTAAGTACATACTGTATTCATTATTTACAGTTCTTAAGAAATAATCAATTTTTACTGGCATAATTTTATTATTACTTAGACTATTCTTCTCTTTTTTGTTTTGAAGGAACTTGTCTTTCATGTGCTTGTAATAATCTGGTTAAAGCAGAAGTAAAGCCACCAAATGCACTTTTAATAAAATGTTTTCTCACCTTGAAAACTGGCCACCTTTAAAGTCATACACTGTAATATTTTTTTCAATCAATCTGTGGGCTGAACGAAACACATATATTTATTTATTACAGGCAGTTAAATAGTGCTTTACATACTGCACTTTCACATCAGTACCTGCCCTCAAAGAGCTTGCAATCTACGGTCCCTATTGCACACGCATATATACAGGGCAAATTAACCTTCCAGCATGTCTTAAGAGTGTGGGAGGAAACCCATGCAAACACAGGGAGAATATGCAAACTCTTTCCCGATAGTGCCCTGACTAGGAATCAAACCAGGAACCCTCAGTAATGCAAGGCATAAGTGCTAATTACTACGCCACTGTGCTGCCTACAAACAACAGATTTCTCCATCCACGCTGTTTATTGTGTTCTGTTGCAGACTATTATGTTCTGACAGCAGGTGTGCCGCTCTCAGAAAACCCGAACAGTGATGGCAGCTGATTGGTTTGTTGGAAAAATTTCCAACTGACTCCTTTTATTTTCTGCTCGAAAGATGTAGGATGAAGAGATGATGACAAGGCCACTCACTGAACACATTTCAGACAGTTCATCAAAAACTGGCCAAAATCCGTACAGTGTATAGCAAGCTTAAGTCACACACATTTCAGCCTTCAGCAAATGTTTAAAACAGCCTCTGTGTTGCAGTTTTGCCAGTGCATGCACACATTCATCATCAAAGAACTCGATGGACTTGTGTCTTTTTTCAACCTGACTAACTATGTAACTATGTAAAAAGGTGCAAGAACCAGTGATGAATGTGCGCATGCATTGTATGCTGTTCAGAATTTCACTCTCCTTTTCTGGCAGCTAAACTTCCTCTCCTGATAGTGCTTGTTGACTAACTTCACCTTATAGCTGAATGGACAGTGCAAGTGCTAGATTTTTTTAATGTTAGCTGTGGGCAGATGAAGCTGTCCAGAAAAGAAGTTGATCGACTTATGAAAGATGGCGCTGGCTTTGGGAACAGAGGGCTTGGCATGGCTTGAAGGGTATTAGTGAAAATGTAGCCTCAATCAGGGAGATAATGGTTATAGGTTATACAGTATGTCATAATACAATATGCTAGGACTAACATTGGTACTTTTAGGCACCAAACAGTGCTTTCACATCAGAATTGTTGTTACCTTAGAAATGTTTTAGACCAGATCAGGTTTTACTGCAACATGACTCTTTTTACTACTGCATTAAATAATCCCACTACTGTTTAGTAGTACTATAACACAGCACCTGTACTGATCTCAATAGCTTGTTGTATGTTTGTCTTATAGATTATTAAATGCAAGGCAGCTGTAGCCTGGGCCCCAAATCAGCCACTGGCAATAGAGGAGATTGAGGTACAACCACCAAAAACAGATGAAGTTCGGATTAAGGTAGGTTTTGTACTTATATAGTAGTCTTTCTTTAAAGAAGAGCTCCAGGGAAAAGTTTTATTAACCCTTGCAGTGGGGCTCCCCTGTATCGAGCCGCTTGTTTTTAGACTGGTCCCTAGAGCCTCTTTCCCCACCTCTGTAGCAGTCTAAGAATCCTTGTGTCATCACGTTCTATACAAGTGTATAGACTTAATTACACTGGGGAACATTCCATCTCTGCAGGACAGACACACTTCAGTCTCCATAGAAGCAGATAGTTGGTATGGCAGTTCGGATGAGTATAACTTTTTTTTTTTAGCACCTAGACACAAACAAGCATTAAGCCTTAACGTGCGGGGGTAGCCCCACTGTAAGTGTTAATACATTTTTCCCCTGATTTTGTCTTTAATACTGATAACCTGTAGAAAGATTTGTAGCTGCACTTTCTGTTTACATCAGTAAATTTCCTATTGCAAAATATGCTGCCTCCTTTGTCCCAGAATCCAACCATGGCTGCTTAAGTACTCTGACTGAACAGTCGGAGATTCGGCATGGGACATTGAAGAGTTCTCTTCTCTCCTCCTGCTTTCCTGATCTCTCCTTATTCTTACCTCTTTCTGAACTAAAGCCCCTCAATTAAAAACTAAATGATAAGAAATATCCTTTTGGAACAGTATTGTAAAAAGATTTCAATATAATTTATAACAATGTGAATCCATATGCAAAAGTGTTCATTTTGTAATCAAGCATTTTTACAACTACCCTTTTTCACCTTTATATTTTTTCTAATGTGTTTAGATGGTAAGCACAGCAATATGTCGGACAGATGACCATGCAATCCATGGTACTTTTGCAGGGTTACATTTTCCAATTATTTTGGGCCATGAAGGAGCTGGAATAATTGAAAGTGTTGGAAAAGGTGTGACTGGATTAAAACCAGGTATTTACATTTTTTTGAAGCTTACATGTTGCTTACATTTAATAACATTTGAGCGGATTTATTAAGGTAGGACCAAGGCAAAACAGGGTGCAGTGATCCACAGGAATCAGTTAAATACCATATTACTGCAGTTAGCTAACTAAAGAAATGCTTTCTGATTAGTTGCTATACTAGTATTCTTGTACTGCCTATACCAAATTAGCTGGGCACAAAGGAAAACTGTTTTAAATTAAAATGTACTTTATTGAAGATGTTCTTATTTGACTTGGGATTTATGACTATTCTTTAGTCACATGTTAGGCCTAAGCTATACACACATTTTAACAGTTCAGCCAAAATACTAAAACCACTTGCAATTAACCAGAAAGTGTAACTATCATGGCTGGTGCAGTGCTCATTTTTCCCCTTATGTTGTCACAACCATCCTCCAACCAAATTGCACACTCTTAAATGAAACACACGTACACCACTGATACAACCTTTATTGGCTACTACAATAGTGGTTAATAAAAAGCAGTAAATTTAACAAAGTCCTCTTAGCTAATCTGCGATTTATAATTGTTAGGTTCCAAAAACTTAAATGCCTGAGACAATATTGTCCCCAGCCACTTACTCTGCTTCAGAGTGTGACAAAAGTCTGTTACTGGAAGAACATGAAAAAACAACTTAACTGAATATAGGAGTGGTTATACAAAATACATCTGAGCACAAAATTAGTATCTCCCCACTGCCCATTACTACCAATGTGCTTGTGGTGGGCACCAAAGATGCCTACAGATCATTTTGGGCATCACACACAGACACCTTATCACAAACAAGGAAATATTAAAATGCAGTGGTATGCTAAAGCTAGAAGATGTTATCAATCAAAGGCTAGACACATCCCGCACCTACCTGACTACGCATACCCAAAATTGCAATTCGCTAGACATCACCACCTAGAAAAAAGGAGAAACAAGGAAGACATGATATATAAAATCATCTAAATTTTTAACAGCCACAGTAACAAAGGATGAGTGGGGACTGATCTCTTGCTGCTCTAAAGGGTGTATTGCAACTGGTACCTCAGGCAGGATTAAAGGTCACTGCCCCTGTTCTAATCTTATTGGCCCAGACATCCTTTTTAAAAAAAAACAAATTAAGACTGGGGAGGTTTCAAAAGAACTCATTCCCAGTCTTTTCAGCCCCCATTTACACTTGAGTGTGAGCACTCATTGTAGATTACTGCTGACCCATTTGCACATGCTTAGACTAATCGATTGTGCATAACAGCAATAAAGTCATAGTCCATGTATCACAGATATTGAATTTAATTACTGTAAACACTTTGTTTATTTGTAACATCCTTTTCTTCCCCAACTCATTGTGCAATATGTGGACGGAACTAATTGGTAGAGTGTGATGCATCCTGCACATGTCACTGCAGTGTACTCATTCCTTTGCCCAGGGCCACACATATCCTCTTGGTGCTCCATTGGTTATGTGAAAAAATGTAAACAAAAAAAAACAAAAAAAGAACCAAATATCAACAAAATATTTTTTAGAAAGCCCATTAAAACAATACTTACTTACTCTCATTGACATATTTAAAAAAAAGTACAATTCTTCAGAGTGACACTTCCTGTCACACGCTGCAGCTCTTAAAAAAACTCTGCCACCCTGTCCATCGAAAAAACCTCTCCACCCAGAGCATTTTGAACTTTACAAAGATTTTGTTTAACTTAAATATACAATTGAAAGTTGTTAAGCATTGCTTTAATTGGCTTTTTTTCCATATGGCACTCTCAATCATGCTGCTGGAGCCGTCTCTTAAGAAGTTCTGGAGTGTAACATGGGGTGGCTAGTAATAGAGAGAACAGTTTCCTCAGAATGAAAATAGAGCAGTCAGTGGCAACAAATAAGGATCGCTGGCATAGCTTTGGCAAAGCTGGCATAGCTTTGTCACTCTCAATAAGAAAGTCTTATAACCTGTCAGGATCACCAAGTATTTACTAACTAATACTCTATTTTTAAAGGAAATATTTTTGTAGCTATTCCAGCTTTATGGAAGAGTGACAACAAGAAGAAACCTATACTTAAAAAACACTTTACCAAATCCCACATGTAGTTTGTCAAAAGGCAAGTGGGAGGCACGGTGCATATGTAATAAAAGGTTCTCTGATTTAATGAGACTAATTTTTTATTTTTTTTTACCTAGTGCAAAATACCATGTGTGGCAGAAAGCCAATACTGGTCATCCCCATTCTCATGGTGATAGCATCATGTGGGATTGATTTTACTTGGCAGAGGTTGGAAAACGGGTCAGGATTTAGGTAGAATTTAGAACTGCAACGCATTTCTCAAAGAAAACTGGAAGAAAAAAAGACGCTGGTGATTGGAGGCCTACAGTTAATAATGGTCAATTGTATTTAACTTTTTAACCTTTTTGTTGAAAGCTCACATATGTGTAAAGTAATGTTTCATTTCTCAGAGCATGTTAATTAACTAGTGAACATGTTGCCATCACCTCTAAAAGAAAGGAGTTCTGTTTTCTACCTCTGGATTATTTATTTGCATGTGTTAATTTATTTTCTGAAATTCAGGTTTATTCCCAGCACAGATTATCATGTCTGTTTACAGTAGAAAGTCAGTTTAGTGGAACGATGTATAAGTAAGTGTGCCACCTGCTAGCTGCAAGGTGTAAATGTGAGATATAATTGTACTTACATATTTACCTTGGTGAAATGACATGTTTTAGCATTTCTAAAAATGTATATATACTGTAAATATATATATATACACATCCATATATTATACAATATAGATATCCTTGAATATCATTCTCAGTGTGGAAGACATCTAAAATCTTTTTGATTTTGTCAATACTTCCAGTTGATTCAAAGGGACTGTATAGAACCCTCTCTGCAATGTCAGATCACATTTCCTTTCCTCCAACCTTAAATTGTGGCCATGTGTTATTGTCAAGGACTGCAGATTAAACAAGTTGTTCTTAACTTTACAGTCACAATAGATTAACTTTTCGATAGCAATCATGTCTCCTCTTAAGTGCCTCTTCTCTAAGGTAAATTTAATTTACTTAATCCTTCCTCATAGCAGAGGTCCTCTAGCCCCTAATTAATTTTGTTACTCTTTGTTGGACTCTTTGAAATTCCAGGACATCTCTTCTGTTGATGGGTGATCAAATTTGGACTGCATACTCAAGATGAGGATGAACCAGTGTTTTGTAATAGGGGTAAGAGTATCAATGTATCGCTGAAATAAATACCCTTTTTAATAGATGATAATATTCTGCTTGCTTTGCTAGTGGCCACCCGACATGCTATGATTACTACTAGAACTCCCAAAACCTATTTTATATATATATATATATATACACACATATACTTCCTATAGGTTTCCTGTGAGGTTGCTGGAATTTTTCAGTCCTTACACTGTTTAATTAGGATGTTCAAATATATAATTTCAGGATGTGTATGATTAACCTTTGCTACCTTTCATGTGGAGCATCCAGCAATATTATTATGAGTTTCTGTTATTCGCTTTATTGCTCTTGAATTGGCTCATTGATTCTTGCTCTTGAAACATCAGCCTTTTAATTGGATAGATCTAAAAAAAAAAAGTTCAAGCAGCAAAAGTTGTAATTGGGCTCTTGACATGGGTTGTGGCTCCCGCCTCCTGTACACCGTAAGTGCTGGTAGAGAGCCACAGGTACAGCATACAGCCTTACATTAAGGTACATTGCTGTACACTGTTTATGGCAGGTAAACACCGACACTACAGCAATACGCACAGACCTAAAATTTTGGAAGCAGACTTTAATGCTCTCTGCCAAAAGGAATATGCCAACATTTGGAATGTATGGGGCCACCGACTGTGTGCAGGAGCCTCTTATGGTTAAATTTCATTGGTTAAAAAGTCACGGCCCAATTTCTCTTACGGTTGGGGCCACTGGCTGTGTGCAAGTGCCCATTATTGCTAAATTTTGTTGGTTAAAATGTCACGGCCCAAGTTCTCTTACAGTTGGAAAGTGGTAAAGGAAAGGGTTATGAAGCAGCCATTTGCAGATCTGAAATCTTAACGATTCTGACTTTCTAACAATTGTCAAGTGCACTTTAGTTTTATAAGGATATAATTGATACAGATCTAACAGACTTGATGTAATACATTAAACATGTATTTTTATTAAAAAAAAAAAATCTTATCAAATAAATCGTAAATTTGCACATGTACATTACACATTACAGATACAATTTAATAATATTTGTTATTTCTTTTAGGTGATAAAGTAATTCCACTTTGTCTTCCTCAATGTGGAAAGTGCAGTTCTTGCCTAAATCCAAAAAGTAATTATTGCTTTAAGACTCAGTAAGTAATCAAGAAACAGCAAACTTTTACTTTGCGAGGTTGGTTATATTTTGTTCTTTTAGCTTCCTAAAGGAACACTATTTTGTAATTGTAGTCTGTCCCCAGTCAAGGGAACTTACTCTTTTCATGTCTTCTTCACACCAATTGCGGTGCGTTCCAGAGCGGGAGCTGCTGGAACGCACAGCAATCGCTCCCTAATCTTCCCCCTCCTCCACAGCCACGCCCCCCGCCCGCAGTGCAAATGGACGCGTGGCAAAACATTGCCTGCGTTCCGGTCCACTGCGAATGTAAAAAATAGAGCATGCAGCATTTTTTTGCGTTCGCAGTGGACCAGAACGCAGGCAACTTTTTGCCATGTGTCCGATCGCACTGCGGGCGAGGGGCGTGGCTGTGGTGCCATTGACTTCAATGTACCGCCATGCAACCTCCCACCCGAGAACGATGGGGGAAGTTTAGTGAGCGATTGCTGTGCAGCTGCAGCTACCCCTCTGGAACGCACCACAATTGGTGTAAACAAGCCCTTAAGTGCTCACTCAAGAAAGTTTCCTGTTAAGATTGTAATAAAGTAACAGTTCTTCTGTCAGTTTGTTCATATTTGACAGTCAAATGCAACAATTGTAGTTGAAAAGGTAAACAGTAACCACAGATATACAAAATTAAAAGTAAATACCACGCCCCAGGATTTGACTGCCGTTTATTGACCCTCTCATTTCCCTTTATTGGTGATGCTTTGAGGATGCATTGAATGTTTTTTTGCTCGTCTCTTTGTATCCTATCATGTTTTGAATTTTGTTGGCTACTATGAGCACATGTTGTGGCACCCTGATTTTTGTTGTTCCCCATTTGAAAATGCAGTAAATCTATTGAAATGGAAAAAAAAGTAAATACTGCGTTGGTCCGTATGATATAAGGCATCTCTGTACAGATCCAACATTTTTAAGGAAGGGGAGCGTTCTTCTCATCCACTCTCTGCTGTCCTAGATGAACAGACAACGGGATATTTTTTTAAGTGAGAGTACAGGAGTGGCTGTTTCCTTTCAGACTGTCTCTAATTGTATGGAACTGTACAGAGCAATAAGGGCGGGATGAAGGAAGAACGAGTCACTCTCCTGACTTCATTCAGCTGTGTGTTTAATCTAAGCTCCAGCCAACCTCTGTAGATGGGTGTTTGTTTTTTGTTGTTGTTGTCCACCCATCATTATGCAGACTAAAAGTAAAACAAATGTGGTGCCTTTGCTTTACTTCACTTATAAAGTAAAGTAAAATAAAGGCAGACTAAAAGTAAAACACTAAAAATACATTCTTATCTTAAGAATGTTTCTAAGGTTTTATTAAAAGCTTAAAATGGCTTTAACATTTTAACTATTGTGAAGTTTGTGGGTCAGCAGGAGTGCAGGACAACTGGATTTGTGAAACAATGTACCTTATTAAAATCAAGTGGCTTTACAGAAGAAATGTCCACATAAATGCAAAAGAAATGCCAGCTAGCCTCCACAACAGAAAGGAAAAAAATAAGCAAACTCCAACCAGCAAGTTGCAATGTTTCAGAGTCCAAAGCTAGTAGTTCCAGAGGGCCTAGCCAGCAATGAAAAATGTGCAGACCTCAAACAGGTACAGCCATTAGCAGTTCTCCCCACAGCAACCTCCCACTGCCTACTCCCTTCTTCCTTATCAGCTCACTCTTTCCATAACCCCTGCTATGTCTCTTAAAGAGCCCACCACCTACTGCACATAAAAAGGGGACACGTGCCTGTCATCCAGGCCCATCACTTTTGGATGGTATACTACCATGAAGCTTAACAGGGAATTGGATTGTTCTGTGGCTAAAGCTTTACCTCTCTTTAAACAATTGCACTTGTAAATGACAAAAATAACTATTGTTTATGACTCTCTTTCCCTTTAATTTTTAATACAGTTTTTATGAATCACAGAATGTAATGCCTGACAAAACACCAAGGTTTTCATGCAAAGGAAAAGCTGTATATCACTTTCTTTGGACCAGCACCTTTTCGGAATATATTGTGATGCCTACTGATGCAGTAGCAAAGATTGATGACAGAGCACCCATGGAGAAGGTCTGTCTTTTTGGATGTGGCTTTCCTACCGGATACGGAGCAGCTGTCAATACTGCCAAAGTAAATCCATTAACGTTTAGACCTGTTTAATTTAACTGAATTGTCAGCCTCTTTTAGTGCGTTTAGGCTGCAAGATAGCACAGTCTTTTAGTTAAAGTGTCCACATATCGCTTACATAACATACTAAATATTTCCTATAAGAAAGGCATCCAGTATTGTTGAAAATCCAACTAAGATCTCCTGGGAATGATTCCATAGTGTGATTCACATATTTTTTCAATGATAATGTCTTTCAAAGTATATACCTGATCAATTATTTGAATGAGTTATCAATTAATTAATCAGTACCTTTGATCATTGGGATCTATCATTTCTATGTTGGGCACAGGAGTGTAAGGATTTGGATGCTTCTGCGAGAAGGTCAGGACATGGTAAGAAAATACTGCAAAAAGGGAAAAGAGATTTAGTGTTTTGGATTAGTGTACAGTTTAGCAATAAACCCAGGGTTTTTTTTTTTTTAATTAACCTTTCTTGGTAATGTTACAGTTACATGTTAGGAGGTTAGTGTTGGGCAGAGAAAAGGTTAGGACTTAAGGACTAACATAGCAAATACATTAAGGCTTAGGGTAGGGGTACATTTGAGGATTAAGTTAAGTGTTCAGGCCAAAGGGTTAAATCTTGCGGTTTGAAAAAGAGTTAAGTGTTGTGGGTTAGATTAAGAGTTAAAGCATTACTTTAAATCCAGTACGCGTCAGGTTGTGTTCAGATCTTAGGATTCAGTATTGGGAATTAGGATGCAGAGTCTCCAAAGAATATTAGAAAGAATGGAATTCTACTTTTCAGCAGCTAACAAAACAGACACTGCAATTACATAGCACACAACATTGAAATTTCATTTTTTTTTGTCTGCTTATACACATTTTAAATGCTAACATTGGCAACTTTTTTTAAATGAACAGGTGGAGCCTGGTACTACTTGTGCTGTATTTGGATTGGGTGCCATTGGGCTGTCGGTCATTATTGGATGTAAAGTTTCTGGAGCATCAAAAATGATTGCTATAGATATAAACAGCAGCAAGTTTGAAAAGGCAAAGCTGTTTGGAGCCACTGACTGTATTAATCCCAATGATTATAGCAAGCCAATCCAGGAGGTGATCACTGAAATGACAGGACATGGAGTGCATTATTCCTTTGAATGCATCGGCAATACTGATGTAATGGTAAGTAGTTCAAAATGTGATTTACCTTTAATCAAATCAAACTAGGCATATGTGGGATAACTTTTATGTCTATTTTAAGAATGTTGAAAAAAGTCGATACGTGGCCAATTTTCAAAGAACCACAAAGCACATTTAGGTGTAATGGTATCTTTCAACAAGTTTAATCTAATTCTCTTCATATGGTTTTTTGGGAAGATACATTTCAGTATGTATCTTCCCAAAAAAAGACTACAATGTAGTAAAAATAAATGGCACAATAATTCACTAAGCCATGCATAGTGCATTATGATTACTGCAATGGTGTGAAGCCAACCTTCGTGAGATAATACTGTTTTACACTAATATAACACAGAGCACAGTACACAGAGCACAGTGCAATAACATTGAGCAAAGTGCAGTAACGCATAGCAGTCATGCAGACTTTAGTTTAAATCGGTAACAAATTGGATCCTGATTAAATGGAAAGCATTCCTGAAGACTGAACATCTTTATTTGAAACAAATACAAAATGTGAATGTCTTAAGATACCAGCACATATAGGATACTCATTATTTTTATATATAGGAACTTTAAGAACTACAAGACCCTGAGCTTGGGAGGTTGGAGTGGTGTGAATTGTGAGAATAATAGGGCAAACCAGGTCGATGATAACATCACTAATAGCAATACATAGGCTACAAATAGGCAATTGTGACAATACTTGAGCAACAAATGGACAATTCTTACAATATTCAGGCAACAAATGTCATATTACACAGCCAACGAAAATGTATCATTAAAATACATGTACAAGAATTGAGAAACAAAACGCAAGTAAAAAATGTAAAATTTTAGCAATACGCAGGCAACAAACCGCAAAAAGTTACAATATGAAGGCAACAAGTGTACAATGTTTACATTCCATGGGTACCAACAAGCAAGCATTGCAACACCGAGGTAATTACAATAACAGCGACAATAACTGGGCCCAGTCTTCCCCCTGCTTCTTGGAATTGACTGAGCTCCATCATGACAATGCTAAATATTCTGTGTTGGACATTTTTATTAGCTTCACTTAGTTTATTTAAATTACAGGTAGTTACATTTATTCCAAAGCTTTTCTGACATTCTTTATCTTGTTGAACTAGAAAGCAGCACTGGAGTGTACTCATCCAGGATATGGGACCAGTGTGATTATAGGTGAAGCTCCACAGGATAAAAAGATCACATTTGATCCTCTTCTGCTCCTTACAGGACGCACATGGAAAAGCTCTCTAATTGGAGGTACTATTTTCTATAAAACACTAGTTATGCTCTGTTTAATATGTTTTTATTACACTTTAATTTCACACAATTTACATATTCCATTCTATAAAAAAATTAATATATTTCATACAGAAAAAAAAAACTCCAACATATATCATATCTACTTCTCTCATTCATTCTCCCCCAATTACATCCACATTCCCATCATTCGTTCGAAAACACTAGTTATTCTGACTCTGATTGTTGTATTAGCGTCTTTATGTGTTTTTGGATGGGTATACAAGTTTATCTGCCCCCTGCTACTGCCTCTCTCTCTGTAACTTTCTAGTGAAATTATAATGTAAAATATCCAATAATAATTAAATGTATAGTGTAAAATGTTGTTATTCTGTGCTTAGGGTAAATGAAAAACTAGGTCCAAAGCTGCTATGCTAAAAGCATAAGGCTCTTGGATATCTAAAGTATAAATGCACAGCGCTGAAGAACCTTCTCTATTAGTAGCAGGTGATACACCTTTTCGTGTTACAAATGAATTAATACAATAATAAATTAGTAAATTAAATTATAATAAGCAGGTATTTTGTGAAAATATATAAATTATGTGATGAAAAATATATATAGCGCTGACTTTCAATAATATTTGTGTAAAAGAAATGATTTAACCATGAATATATACACTTGATGTGAACACCCAATGTAATAAATATCGACACTCCTATAGTCTATAGTGCATACAGTGTATAAAAAAACCCCCAAAAAACATAAAGTGCATAGAATTATACTAATCCATCATTAATTATAATAAAAGATTTCAATAGATAATTCAATCGCATCAATCCAGTCCATATAATAGTGATTGAATAGTGGATGAATGTGAAACAAATCACCAAAGTGACTTTCAAAGTCCCAGATCCAGTTCTATATATAAGATACATCACCGGTCAGTGCTCAATAGACAAGTGACTTCTTTCTTCGTGATATACCAAACCCCAGTGGGTATACACTCACCAGAGTTATTGACTGTAACAGTCCGTCAACAAACGCCCACTTAGCATATGTAGAACCTCGTTCCAAGTGATTGCAAATCGACACTCTTCAGCACTTGTTCCCAGCGTTTCCATAACTCAGACATCATCATAACCCCAGGGAAGTGAATGAGTACGCTCATCGTGCAGCATACAGACAAATTTTATTAAAATGATAGCAAACACTCACATTTAGAACTCGAAATACCGGCCGGCAAACAACAAACAGCTCCCTTCGTTGTCTCGTGCAGCTACGATCAACGTCAGTAAGATCCGTTCTAACGCTTTTTGTCATTACAACTTTGTCATTACGACTTAGTCAAAGGAAAGCTGATCTTACTGACGCCGTCTCCACTTCAACTTTATGCTTGACAAATTCTTAATAGGCTTGATTAGACACCACCACTAGGGGTGCTCACAAGTCAATTAAATAAAAAGCATTCTCAGCCCACATATAAACACAGAAATACAATTTTAAATATGTATACCATAGAATCAGATAAAAATTTTAATTATTCTGCGCTTAGCATAGCAGCTTTGGACCTAGTTTTTAGTTTATTCTAAGCGCAGAATAACAAAAACTGATTTGGGAATCCCATTTTATCTGCAGCTATGGAGATTTTTAATTTTATTCAAAATAGACCTATAAATTTAGATGAGGTTTTTAGTTTAAAAAAAATGGATAATAGTAATGTCCAGCAAGACACTAAACTACTTAAATTTTCATTTGAAAAGCAGCTACGCTTGTAGTGGTATATCACCTCACATGAGAGGTATTTAGTTGATGGGATTATCCCAGGAGTGCCCATTAGGTAGATCGTGATCTACCAGTAGCTCTCAAAGCTGATGCTGGTAGATCACGAAGGGAGTGAATGGTGGCCCCTTTATTCCATTTTGGTATATTTATTTAGCTGTGCACACATTACCTATTAGCCTGAGTCTGCTGAGCTCAGCTCCCTGACACCTTTCTGGTGGATACTGGTGGTTGAAGTGCTATGAATTACATCAAAGAATATTACTTTACACAGCCTGTTGCCCTGCACAGTTTGCAAGGTGAGCCAGGAGAGAGAGCGGGGAGAGACAGACAGGAGAGAGAGCAAGTAGAAACAGCCAGGAAAGAGAGAGAGGAGAGACAGCCAAGGGAGAGAGCAAGGAGAGACACCCAAGAGAGCGAAGAGAGACAGCCAGGAGAGAAAAAGAGGAATGGCAGCCAGGAGAGAGAGAGCGAGGAAAGACAGCCAGAAGAGAGAGGAGAGACAGCCATGAGGATGAGCAAGGAGAGAGACAGCCAGGAGAGAGCGCAAGGAGAGACAGCCAAGAGATAGAGCAAGGAGAGACAGCCAGGAGAGCGAGGAGAGACAGCCAAGAGAGAGAGTGCGAGGGAGGTTTTTTTTCCTTGTTAGATCTCATGTAGCTCTTCATTTGAAAAGTAAATCGTAACACAAAAAATTGTGGGCACCCCTGGATTATCCCAAGGAGTTTGAGGTGGGATACCCCGTTCAAATGATAGTCATAAAGACCAGGAATCGCAAGTAGAATGGACCAGGTTTTTTCACCATTGAGAAGAGAAACGACTACAATTATTAATAGCTAGAAAGAGACTTAAATTAGATCAGGTAGAAATTAAAATCAAAGAACTGAAAGTTAAATCAGAGAAATGTAAAACTAATATTAAAGAAATAGAAAAATTCCTACAGAAAAGAGATGTAGAAATTAGGGATATGTCGGATTTAAAAAATGGGAAAATCTATAAGTGGCAATCTTCAGAGGAGGAAATTAATAGTTGTAATACTAGTGAAAAAAAGTATGGGGATGGGGAGGGAAACAATGGACCACCATGGAAACCAATACATAAAAAAAGAAAAAAGAGATGAGGGAGACAAAATGGAGTGAATGGTCCTAGTATTAACCATCAATCTAATGGGAATGTATAACACCATACCCAGTTTGACCTGCCATTGTCAGAGAGATATCACCCCCTACTTAATCAAGGAGAACAGTCTAATGAAAATAATTCACAGTATCAGCAACACCAGGAGAACTATTACGGAGATAACACATCAAACCAACATTATTTATAGAATTCATACAAGAACCATCCACCAAGTCGTATACTAATGCGGGGTCGCATGAGACAATACAGTCAAGGTTGGGGAAGACAAAACGTAGTGAACAGGAATCAAAATACATATGGACACGAAAACTATGGCCCACAAGTGAGGAGAGGGGGAGAATGGGCACAAAGAATGTGGAAAGAACCAAATTGGACACCTTTACCACAGAGGGAGAGATTCAGAGGTCAAGACGAAAGAGGAGGGGATGTAGAGGGGGGAAGAGGATTCAGTCACAGAGGAGGCAGGAGGTGATAGGGAAAGGCATTTTTAACCTTAGTTCAGTATTATTAACACAGGAGGAGAAAAAGGTCCTGAACTTGGGTTAAAAGTATGCACCAGTAAATAATCTAAATACATGTTCCACATACATAGATATTCAAAAATTCATCAGGAAATGAAATATTAATAAATATTACTCCTCCTTATCGGGATATAACCAAAATACTATTTCTAATATTAACCCCCCAAAAATGTCCAAACACCTTTGAGAAATCAATCAATCAGTTTTCAATGCTAAGATTAGTTCCAATCACTTTGTGGACGTTTTTAAGAATTTGGTAGAAGAAGATGTTAAATCACTGGAAATTAAATGTTTAAAAGATAGAGCCTTCGTCAGTAAAGGAATAGAGTCACTGGAAGAGAGGAAAGGGATTGTCATTAGACCGGCCGATAAAGCAGGTGGTGTAGTTATAATGAATAAAGAATATTATGAGAAAGAGATGGAAAATATTTTACAAAGTGAAGATACTTATAAAAAATTAAGAAAAAATCCCACTATTGAGTTTAAAAAGGAATTGGGAGTATTAATTAACAGAGGTTTTAAGAATGATTTACTCTTCAAAAAAGAAAGGGATTATTTAATATCTGTGTGTAAGACACCTATTATATATTTCCTTCCCAAAATTCATAAAAATACTGAGCAACCACCAGGGAAACCCATTGTTAGTGGCATAGATTCCCTGACCGCAAGACTAGGGGAGTTGATAGATTACCATTTACAACCATTGGTGAATCAAACTAAAGCTTTCTTAAAAGACAGAAAAGATGTTCATAATATTTTAGATCAGCTTGAAGGGAACAATCATATGGTGATGGCCACTATTGATGTGACCTCTCTGTATACAGTTATCCCACATAACAAGGGCCTGTAGGCTACTGATTGGGCTTTTAAGAAATTTAGTAAACTCTGGATGGAACAAACAAACTTCTTCTTGGATTGTGTAGACTTTGCTATGGCAAAGAACGTTTTTTGGTGTTAGGATAGTTATTACCTCCAGGAAAAAGGGGTTGCCCCGAATTTGGCCAATTTATATATGTCTGTGGGAGGAAGAGAATATCTTCAATAATCCTAATGGACATATAAGGCTTTGGAAATGTTTTATAGATGATGATATTATTATTATTATTATTATTATTATTATTTGGGAGGGGGATAGACCATCTTTAAAAACCTTTTTGGTCTCCCTCAATTCTAATGCATATAATCTTACATTCACCAGTACTGTTAGTGAGACCAATGTACAATTCTTAGACTTGGATATTACTAAGGAAGGAAATAGATAGGATATTAAAACATTTTCTAAACCCACAGATAAAAATGGATATATTCCAGTTTATAGTTGTCATCACCCCAAATGGCTTAAAGGAATACCTAAGGGACAGTTCAAACGCATTAGGCTCAACTGCATTAAAATAGAAGATTATCAAATACAATCCTAAATTTTAATAGATAATTTTAAAGAGAAGGGTTATAACAATAAATAACTGAATAGGGAGAAGGATAATATTTCTCGCCTTGATAGAGATCTATTACTTAAACCTAATACTAAAGAATGACTCTTTCCCTATATCATTTATAACTGACTACTCGGTCCAACATAGAGAGTTGGAATTTATTTTTAGAAACACTGGGGTATCCTTAAAAGGGATAAACAACTAGGTCCTATTCTTCCTGAAAGACCTAAAAGACCTAGGAGGGCGCCAATATTGAAAAATTAATTAGCGAAAAGTGTTCTAAATCCACCTAAATGGATGGTTCCATTTTTTGAAGGGTCAGGTTTTTATCCATGTAAACGATGTATACGTTGCAGAACCACAGGAGTGAGGGAAAAAAATGACCCCATTTAGATCTAATACTAACAAGAAAGATTACAAAATAAAAAAAAATTAATTTCCTGTCATAATAGATTTGTCACTTACCTCCTTGAGTGTCCATGCGGGTTACCGTATGTGGGGAGGACCACTAGGGAATTAAAAAAAAGGATGATAGAGCATGTTAAAAAAATTAAAAATGGTTTCATGAAACATAACTTATCTAGACATGTTTAAATGTTTCATAATCCAGATCCTAGGGGACTAATAATAATAGGTAAAAATTAGTGATGAGCCGAACACCCTCGTGACTCTGCCCAATCATGGCTCTATATTTGTACTGAGCCCTGATTGGCACAGTCTTGCACCTGACCTGCGGTCAGGTGCAGGACTGTAGCCAATTGCCGCTTCGGACGGCGCAGTGCATTGTGGGATGTGCCGCGGTCGAACAGACCGCGGACATCCCATAATGTTCGGTGTTCGGCGAACGCTCGAACATGCTATGTTCGAGTCGAACATAGGTTCGACTCGAACGCGAAGCTCATCCCTAGTAAAGATAAGGTACAAAAACACTGAGAGGTTCTAACCTCACCAGGGAAATATCCAAAAAATTAGTCAAAATGGGTTTTTTTCCCTGGATACCATGGTCCAGAAAGGTTTGAATATAGATTTTGATTTGAACTGTTTTTTAAATAATAATTATTATGAGATCCTTTTTATGGTTTTTCTTTGATGTTGTTCTTCTTTGGTGTCATTTATCATATATATTCAATATAGAGGTTTTGTTGTCCCCTAGGAGTGTCGATATTCATTACATTGGGTGTTCAAATCAAGTGTATATATTCATGATTAAATCATTTTTGTTACACAAAGATTATTGAAAGTGAGCGCTACATATATTTTTCATTTTTCATCACATAATTCATATATTATTATTATTTAACTTACTAATTTACTAATTTAATTTTGTAACACGTAAAGGTGTATCACCTGCTACTAATAGAGAAGGTTTTTTAGTGCTGTGCATTTATACTTTAGATATTTTAGTTTTAGATAGAGTGCTAAAGGGACTAAACCCCTGCCAGCTTGTTTTTTTTTTTTGCTGTATATGTACTATTGGTGACATTTTCCTTCACTTCCTGTCACAGAGATGCAACAGGAAATAAGAAGAAATGTCCCAAAGTGAAGGAACTTTTCCTATTAGACAGTTGTCCCCTGAACAGGTATCCCCATGGAAAGATTTTTTCGTATCTTTTAGTCTGGAGACAGCTCTAAGACTATGGATTTCTCCTCACTTTCTGTTGTATTGAAAATAGTCATCAGAACGAAGTGGGGAATCTCCCCAGTGGGGACACAGACAGCAATACAAATTTGACAGAGGCTCTAACCATTCCCCAAGGCATCAAAAGCTATATAAACGTTTTGCCTAGAGATATGCTTGCTGTGTATTGAATTTAAAGCAGAAGTAAATCTTTAAAAAAATGCTGATTGCTAGGCTTTATATGGTAGAAGATACTGTGTAAGGCTCTTCTGCCATAAAAGCTTTTTTCTAGCTGTCACCATTTCTTTTTTTCAGTACACTCAGGCGTGCATGGGCAGCGCTGCCAACAGACCCTGAATGCCAAAATGAAGCAGCTCCCATGTGCATTGTGGCCCGTTATCTGGGCCTGGCCAATCAAGTGGCCAAAGACTTAAAACCCAGAAGAGAACCAAGATAAAAAGGGAAGCGCCAAAGTCTGCTGAATAAAATATCATGTTAGTGTGACTTTTATATGACATAGCAGAATGGTAAAGCTCAAATTAAATGCATGCACTTTATTCCCCTTTCAAAACTACATTAATATGCATGCAGGGGGAAAAATGGTTTGAATTAATTGTTAGGATAACATAATAATAAAATTGGGACAGGTTGACGAGGAAACAAATTACACAGAAAGAGAAGGCTCAGAACTGGAGTGACTGTGAATTTAGGTAAGTTAAATGGCCATTTTTGTTTAATCTAGCGATCAGTTACAGTTGTACCTTTACCCTGGAGATGGGCTTTAATTTTATTGTTGCTCTTAATAATGCTAAGCAAGTAGACTAAGACTATATAGCTAAATCCACTAAACATGGATATAGAAATCCATATTACTGATTTATTAATTTACTTCTATTTTTATTAAACTTTTTATGGTTGTAGAAGTCACATAAGCAACCAGATATAGCTGTGTTACAAAGGCTTGGCTGCACAAATAAAGCCTCCCCCTATAAGGCAGACAGCAATGTAATTTCTTTTTAGTTATTGATAGTTTGGAAAAGAGTAAGGTAAATATGCAAAATGTAGTATGGCACAGCAACCAAAACAAACCTGCAGGGCACTACACAGGGTACTGGAACTTAAATTACATTAAAGGCAAACAGTTTTTTCCCTCCACCCAATGTTAATTAAAGCACTTACCTTAAATGATGTCTCTTAATCCGATCTTCTTCTTCTTTCCTGTAGTTTTCAGCCTTCTCTCCAGCACTGCTGCGGGTCTCCGATCCAGCGCTGACTCCTCTGTCCTTGCTGGTACTTCCGGTCCCACGGAGTCTGCATGCGGGTGCACACGTCCATATACTTACCTTGTGTCTCTCCTTGTCTCCTGGCCGAAAATCCGAACTGGGCATGCTCCCGCCCCAAGATGCTTTGCGGCCGCCTGAGAATTTTCAGATTTTCGGATGGGAGCGTGCAGGAAGACACAGGTATTAACCTCTTTTAAAGCGTTTTTTTTTTCTTAACTTTTTGCATATATCTACTGCTTGCTAGCAGTAGATATATGCAAAAAAACGTGAGGGTTTAATAACCTTTTAATACCCACAATTCCTACATTTTTATACTTGGAAACAGTCAAAGCATGCAAAATATTATATAAAATATGAAAATAAAAATGTGTACTATATGAGCTGTATATTTGTATTTGTTTGATGCATAACACATTTATATAATTTGTATACTTTGCATCTGATAATCCTGTACTGAACAAGAGGATGTATTTTTTCAGGTTTTAAAACTATGGATTCCATGGCAGGCATAATAGATGTGGATGGTTTAGAGACTCATACTTTGCCGTTTACCCAAATAAATGAAGGATTTCAACTTCTAAGATCTGGGAAAAGGTTGGTATTTATATTAATGAATACAATTCAGTTTACTTTTTTTTAATGATCTATTTTGAAAGGGGTTGGATATATGGATATGCCAGGGGCTATGGCCTAGGACACCAAAGTCAGTCACATCTATCTGATGTAGCTCATTGGCCTAATAAATGTGGCTGAGAATCAACTATGAAAGTACAAAGCTAAAGCCTCAAAATACTGAAATGATCCAATGGCAAGAGACAGCAAGGAAGCTATGAATTTGGTCATACCATTAAATGCATGGCTTCTAGCTGTTATAGAGGTCAAGTATGGACACCAGTATAGGTGATTCCAGTGATTTTTATAACAGTTGAATTTTTTCTAAACACTCCATATGCAACTTTTCTTCTAAAGCACATGAATGCTCAAAAAAAAAGAAGCTTCAAATGGTTAAATGTTTCCATTTAAAACAGTCCGTGCTCTGCCTTATGCTGGTGAGAGCATAAGGTTAACCTATATAAGCCAACCTATATAAGCACTCCCCATCAGCTGAAATGAATTGATGAAGCCGAACATAAATCCTCCTGCCATGTGAAATTCTCACGTTATCCATAAGAATTCTTAGGCCCCTTTCACAAAGCCGCTCCGATCGGGTCTGCCTGTCAGTTTTTCAGGCGGACCCGATCAGATGTCCAATGCAAGTCTATGAACAGCCATGCTTAAACGGACAGGCGTTTGTTAACACTCGGTTACCCCCGCTTTCCTCTAGGACCGGAAAAACAGACGAATCTGAGATCCGTTGCGCCGGACCAGATTGTGCTGGTTCGGGGGTAATCTGATGCAGTGGCGTCACACGGGCGATGTGTGGCCCGCACCCACTATTGGAGGGGTGACACCAAAATGACTGACAGTCATTTTGGTGTTACCACCTCTGAAATGTCAGGCACTCGGTCACGGACCGAGACCCGACAGTGTCAGGAGAAAGGAGGGGACCCGGCGGCATACCTCATCTCTTGGTGATGGACGCCGCAGGCGTCAATAAGACAATCGCGCACATGCTCGGCAACATCGCACGCATGTTCGATGACGTCATCGCGGGGTGTCACCCGGTCTCCCCTCCGGGTGACACCCAGCCTCGGGACACCCCTAATCTGATGTAAATGGACACATGTCCGTTAACATCTGATTCCACATGACACACATGGGTTTCCGGTAATTGATGTTTTTTTTCAACATCGCAAGGTGGAGGAAAAAACTGTATGGAGACGGATGTCACAGAGGTGACATCCGCTCCGTACTGCTGTGATCCGGAGGGGATCTGTGCACAAATCCTCTCCTGATCAGCCCATGTGAAAGGGGCCATATGCGTGAAATGCAAACTCTATACTTACTCTTGTGAGTTGTAACCCCTTTGTTGCAATGCAGACATTTTTAGAACAATAATTTGAAAGTGCTGCTACATAGCACTACAAATACCAGCAGTATTTTATACAGCATGTTCATCAGTTGGGCTACAAAAAATTATAATTTTATTTAATAACTTACCTTCACTTCTTCTAGCTGTTTTCTTGTGGGGGAGGCTTCAGAAAACCACCCCAATGTGTGTGTGTCCATCTCAGACAGTGCGCCTGTGTGTTCAGGCGGCTGCTTGCTGGGTCCTCACGGCCGAGGCCCAGGGCTGCCCCCTGAGGTGCCTGCCGGCTCGGCTCCCTCCACAGTATCTGGTGGCCTGATACCAATGTTCAAGAGTGATATTTACATATGAATGGGTGGCGCTATTTACATATAAATAAGCCATGACTCATTCTCCCAAATAAATGTCCACACGTCACCAGAGTGTTTGGGTTTCACTTGAAGAAAAAGTGGCAACCCTAGGGCCCCCCCATCTCTGCCCCAGGGCTGTGTTGGAATAGATACTGGGCCCCCTTGTAGGTCCGCCCCTGTAGTCCATGCATGCATAATGCACACATATTGAGAAATAAACCCAGCATACAGTACAAGAATACTACTATGCAATATCCATACATGATAACTGTAATATGGAAACCCCATACAAACACTGCTGACTATATAATCCAGCTCCAAACTTTAAGATTGATATCCATCTATCAAACTAAATCCTTCATAGTCATAACCCCAAAGTGTAATGTAGCAGATGATACATTCAATGATCCACCCTTAACACAAAATGTGTATTACCCCAGAGAATAGTGCACGTATATGAGATCCAATTTAATTAAAGTATATAAAAAAAGTGCTAAGGTGCAAGAACACCTTCATCCTGAGTCACAATATCCAGAAATCAGTGCCGGATTTTCACTTTGCTCCCTGGTTCTGGGCTGTCAGCCTATGGTGTCTCACAAGGCTGCAGCCAATCAGCACTTCTTTCTCCCTATTTAGGACTTCCTCACTTATTGCTCTTGGTGCGAGCAACAAGTCGTATGCCTTTTTCCGTACCCCTTGTGGCTCTAACTATCCCTGGGATCTTATTCCCTGCGCTTGCTATTGGACCCTTGTGCCTTTGGCTTCCCTCTACCAGCTGTTATCCCCTGCTTTGCTCCTTGCGCCGCTCCTATAGTAGTTCAGTGGTTACCTTTAGTATATTGCTGCAGACCTTAATTGCTTTCACCTGTGTGCTGTGAGTCTCTCTATACTGCCTTCATTGCCTCACTTCTACTGTGTTTTCCATCTCCAGCCTTTGTGTGTTGCTTCCTCCCGTTTACTTGCTTTCTTGTACTTCAATTCTGCCACTTACCTTACAGTGTATCTTCCTATGCTTTGCTGTCACCCCTTTACTTCTGTGCTCCTCTCTTACCTTGTGGCTGTGTTGGATTCGTCCTTGTCTGCACACCCCCTGTGTGCATACATCCCTTTTGTGCTTCTTTATGTACTTTTCTCTCTGTTATCCTGCTTCTTTGTATGCATGTGCAACACATGTGCAAGTGTGCCTCTAAGCTACTTACCCTTCCCGAGTGTCCTTGTTTAGCTACCCTCTTCAGTATTCTCTGCTGTTCTGCTGTGCGTTTTGCACCTTTTGCTTGTGACTTTCTCTTTCTCTCATTGTGTGCCACTGTTCCTATCTTCCTCCTCTTGGTTACAAGTTTCTTCCCTACTTGTTGTTTGTATCCAGTTCCCCGGTGCTTCGACTAGTCCTTTGCGTCTGTGTGGGTGCGCTAGAGGGCCGCAACCTGAAAGCTGTCCAAAAGCCAATCATCCTCACCACTAGAGGCTCTGTCGAATACCTGGCCCTTCTTAGATTCTGTGCCTCCAGTGCGTCCTGAGAACGCACAGACCATTAGTTCCTCTCTCTCTGTGACCAACATCCCTGATATCCCTCCTGTCTGTGACTCCTACCAACCCCTCAAACCCCAGAGCTCACATACACTAGTGCCCCGGTTCCCAGACCGTGACAACCTGATCCTGTCACATTTCTACAGAGCTGCAAAGTCACAGAAAAATATTCAGTGGAGGCCTTACTCATTACTCAAGTCTGATAAACCCACCCAGCCTACATAGCATCTGTATCCTGCTGTTTGGCACGCACCACACAGCAGGACATCATCCTCTTTATCACATGGAACCATGCAACCAAAGCCATCCAATAGGTTCCTGGCTATGGCAATCACTAGAGTCCTTAGTTTCCACCTTAATTCGTCTGGGGCCTGAAAGATGAAGGGCGTTGCAAACTGATTACAGCCTGAGACTTTTTAACCATAGTCAGGATGCGAGCAGAAACATAGAGAACCCACAAGGAGGTGAAGAAATTTTGGATGGCTTGGCCCCTGTTGCAAGAATTTATACCAAGGCCTTATTTGGTCCTTACATGGGTACCTTTTTTCCTTGTAGAAACTCCCATTCATTGCTGCATACACCACCTTAATATGAAACATTATAGTATCAAGCTGAGCAGAAATTTTGGATGGCTGGGCCCCTGTTGCAAGAATGTATACCAAGGCCTTATTTGGTCCTTACATGGGTACCTTTTTTCCCTTGTAGAAACGCACCTTTCCAGAGATAGTGGAAATTAGTTCCTTAAATTACCATCTGGTCCAACAGTGTTAATTATGTTGGCTGCTTAAAAAAAAATGACAGTGAAGAACACATACAGTATATACTACCACCTGTAATATGTGCAGTAAAAGAGATGGTGCAGCAATATGATCACATGCGTCATATTCTCATGGGAGCCGCATGATCCACTTTTAAAGGCTTGAATCATATTGAATAAGAAATTGACTAATAATTTGTTTTTCTTATGTACACTTTTTTTTAACACTTTCCCTATTTTTTTTTTTTTTTAAAGCATCCGCACAGTCTTGTTATTCTAAATTGAAGACATTGTTGGTATCTTGGAATCGTATCGTTCCCAATCCCCACGCATGGAAAAGGCGATATTTACTTCCAAGTATTATGATTTAGCTGATTTCTCAAATGTACTTGGCTTGACATAAACCAAAATAAAACGTTTCACATTTTATTGAAAGCAGTTTTCAGATTTCTAATGCCAAAAGTAAACAGCTGCTTGTTATAAAAGTTTTAATAACTCATAAAGGCATATGTGAAAAATGGGCAATGTAATATTCACCAAACATTCACAGGCATTTAATTATTCCTTGTAATAAAGCACATACACCAAAAAGGTTGAATATTTGGGTGAACTCCCATTCATTACACCACCTTTAATATGAAACATTATAGTATCAAGCTAGGGTTGCCACCTGTCCAGGATTTACCCGGACAGTTCGGGTTTTGAATGCTGTGTTCGTGTTTCAAGGCAGCAGAAACCCGGACACAAGATGTCAGGCAGACAGGGGCAACCAAAATTAGGATAGGGGCTACTTGCCCCCCACTGAAAATAGTCTCAACTATGATATTTACATATGAATGGGCGGCACTTTTTACATTTGAACAAGCCACGACTCATTCTCCCACAAAAATCACTGTGCGTTGCTGGAGTGTTCGGGTTTCGCTTGAAGAAAAGGTGGCAACCCTATATCAAGCTGATCAGAAAAAGGGCATATATTTGTGTTGCAACAAAACAAAAACCCTCAATCCTCTACCTTAGAAGTCCAGTGTTTGTTATGCATGAACTTTAGTGACAGGAACCCAAGCATAAATGCACAAGCCTAGACAAGGTATGCTACTAATTGTGGGATATAGGGTGGCTTCTTTCCTTTTCGATCAGTGCTTTTTAGGCTTCCAGCTGTTGATATCCGTACCCCCAAAAGCAATGGATATATAAAACCATTCCAAAAAAACCCCGCAAACTGACTTTGACGTATGTAAGCTGACACAAATAGCGCTGCACTGACCACATGCAATGCAATCAAAGATGCACTAGCAATTCTACTGATTTATGTCCATGTGCTCATACCCAGAAGATCAGTCTGTGTATTGCACACATTAAACACTGGTATTACAGGTCAATTGCATGAAGATGACAAGGGATAGCTCCTCACCGCAAAAAGTTCCCAGGCGCAGTACACTGTAATATGCATACATCCTGCTGTCTTCACCTTCATAACATTTCCAAAATACACCCCTTCCTCACCAATGAAACCACAAAGCTACTCATCCACTCACTTGTTATCTCTCATCTCAACTATTGTAACTCCTTCCTCGTTGGTCTACCTCTACACAGACTATCCCCCCTTCAGTCTATCATGAATGCTGTTGCTAGACTTATCCACCGAACCAACCGCTCAGTGTCTGCAACCCCTCTCTGTCAATCCCTCCACTGGCTTCCAATTGCCCAAAGGATAACATTCAAAATATTAACAACCACTAACAGAGCCCCAGGTTACATCTCCAACCTTGTCTCAAAGTATCACCCTAACCCTCCCCTACACTCCTCCCAAGACCTCCTTCTCACTAGCTCCTTTGTCAACTCGTCCCATGCTCGCCTCCAGGACTTCTCTAGAGTCTCTGCCATTCATTGGAACTTCTTACCCCAACCTGTCTGTCTATCTCCCACTCTGGATGCTTAAATCCACTGCCCTCTCTAGCGCTGCTGCTCACCGGCTCTGGGGCATTCTATTCCATGTGCAATAAAATCAGGCAGAAACAGAAGAAGATCATAGGGTAACACCATTGGTAGGTGGGCTAACTTTTAAATCAACCTGACACAATCTTAAACCATTACATATCTCCCAAAGACATACAGATCCCATCAATCCTATATGCTTTTGCGGTAGGGAATAAAAAAAGGATCTTACAAAATGGTCTTATTCATTTCTTTAATTGCTATGGTGGGTTAACGTCGTTGAGAACCTAGCAACTCTCAGACATGATGTGGATCCCCAGACAACACGGTACTAATTACAAAACCTAGTCTCTATTGGCGTACTACATTTTACAGGTAAGCGTACTACGTTTTACAGGTTCCCCATTAATGTCCATAACTAATAATTACTGGTAACTGGTAAACCAGGAAGAATGACTCTGGTCTCTTAAATTTGTCCCAGAAACCTAAACTTTGCATTCTGCATGTACATAAGAGCAGTAAAACCTGCTTACTGCAGAACCTTCAAGAATCCTGGGGAACCTACTGTTTGACTCGAACACAAACAATTAATGCATTTCTTGCACTCACTGCTTTTTTTTAAACAAGAAATTACACTATTCCCAGCATACATCAACCAATGGGAACAGGATTTTCAGTTACATCTAACTAACCATTGGAATAAAAGAATGTTTTGCAACTGTACCACACATTCTTTACAGACACAAAACTGCTGAAAAAAATTGAAATTATTTTATATAATAGTGTGGCACTCTACTTCTGGATCCCTTGCCTAGGCAAGGATGATGTAGGGATCACCCCCTGCTGCCTTCTGGGATGTCTATGTCACATATTTCAGGAGGCAGTGTTTCAGAAAGGGAAACGTATACTGTGTGACAAGGCAAATAGAAGAAGAATCTTATAGATTCAAAAACATATGCACAAAGTACTATAAAACATTGGCTGTCTGGAATCGGGATCCAATCAAGCAGGATTATATAGTTGTCTAGAACATAGGTTAAAAGCCCTTCCAGAATCTCTCCACAGAGTCTATATAAACCTTTCTCACTCAGAATCTAGCGACCACTCAATGGGACCACTAGTCCCATTGATGCATTATTACATGGTTAAAACTATTGGGTCGCAGATCCCCATGTATTTCCAGTCCTAATACCCCACCTCTCCCGATCCTTCTTCCCCCTTTTTATGTTTAGTTCCGTCCTGTATTTGTCAGGTTAACCTTGTTTTATCATGTCCTTTGTATTGTAGAACAACACTGTTGACTTGTCAGTGTTAATCACTTGCTGACCGGGGTGTTAAACCCCCTTCCTGCCTAGGCCGTTTTTTAGTATTCATCGCTGCAGTACTTTGACTGACATTTATTCCGTCATGCAACGCTGTACTGCAGGGGTGTGGAAATGTAAAAAAAAACTACTTGTCCAAGGGCTAAAGTGGGGGCCAAATCTACTTGTCCTTCACGACAATCTACTTGTCCCAATACAAAAAATAGTTTTAATCAAAAAATAGGATGCACCTTTTTTATCGGTTTAATATTAATTTGAGAAACATTTGCGCAATTATCGCAGGGCCTACAAATTTAGTATCACCATCTTTTTATTCTACCGGGCCTGCGCTTTCAGAAAATATATGGTTTGGGGGGTCTTTTACAAACGCTAGCAACGCAGCAGTTGAAAATCAAATCAATAGGAAAAAATTGCAGAAAATTCAAAAATGGCTTGGCCAGCTGATTTGAAAAATGTTCCGGAGGGCTTGGCAGCGAAAGGGTTAAGGGAGGTTGGGCTTCCTCCTGACAGACCTGCACCCAATTTTATCTTGTGCCACATGTGCTCCAAGATGGAGACTCTCATAACTTAAAGTTACTATGAACCGCACTATAAGAGGTGCCTTGGCGCGGCTGTGCGGCTTTCACATTTTCTGCAGAAGACGTGTATCCAAACCTCTGTTTTTAACCTTAATGGTGAGACAAGTCTTTTTACATGCTAGCTTGTGAGTGTGCGTGGAAAACTTTTTGCTGTTTTATTGTTTTTGCACGTAGGCACGCCTGACACGTATTTACGTATATAACTGCGTGGGGAACTTTTTTGGTGTTTTTTTTTTTAATATGAGACTTTTATTTTAGGTCCAAGTGTAATCTGAAACTTTAGACAAACCATAAGGTTTCAAGGGGGATGGGAATAGAGGATTCTTGTGTTGAATGCAATAATACATTCTAATAAACTATATAATGTTACAAATACCAATATTTATACATAATACAATGTTCTTTCTTATATGAATAACTTAATCAAGAAATATTGCAATAAAGAGATATAATACATACTTTGTAAATACTTCATAAACTTTGATTTAGAATATTTCACAGTCTTTCTTGATAATAAGGAATGTGGGAGGTTCTAACCATTTCTGCTTGATCAGTAACAGATGTATAGCAAATACAACCTGAACCACAGACTCTAATCTCATTGCGTATATTCCCATACTGAACAAATGTATATATAGAAAATCAATCATCACTTATGTTCATCACATGCATACATAATCCCTATATGAATAATACCCTTTAACACCACCAATGTGATGGCTAGAAAAAAATGACAGGTCCTCTTAATAGAGACATCAGGGGTCCCCAAGACCCCTAATGTCACCTAGGGACCCCCAAAGAAACTGATGAAGCAGATATTTGCTTCATCAGCTTCTTCTCTGGCTCCCAGCTAGAGAAATGGCAGCTAAAGGCGGAAGTGATGTAATACACATCGCTTCCGACTTTAAAGAGAGAGAAGGGGGAGAGATCAGTGGTGGGAAATGCTGATCTCTCCTCCTTCTCTCTTCGAGTAGCTGCTGTGCCGGTCCTGTCAGTCACGGGCAACGCAGGGGGGACAATTTAGGGTTATGAAAACAATCGGCCGACTATAGAGCCAGCCGAATGCTTGTATAAGTCAGCCGGTAACAGCTGTTATTCTTCCCGGCAGAATTCTGCAGAGAAAAAAAGACATACATTTACGTGACCCCGCCGGGAAGGATCCGCCGTCCGCCCGTAATTTTACGGCGGGCGGATGGCAAGGGGTTAAAATATCATTACTTCTTTGATGCCTGTAACGTTTATCCTTCAAATAATAAAAAGTTAATAAATAAAAAAAACGTAATTTATGGACAACAGCCGAGACAAGCAAAGTGCAAAAGTTTCAAAAGAGATAAATATTAACTTCAGAACATAACTGTGAGTAAATGTTGCTCAATGTGCACATGTTCATCTGAAAAATATAGCCTGTTCAGCACAAAGCAATGGCAAAGAATTTAATATTGATGGCTGTGACTAAATAAAACTGGGGACTGT